CCCCTCTCTCTCTCTCTCTCTCTCTCTCTCTCTCTCTCTCTCTCTCTCTCTCTCTCTCTCTCTCTCTCTCTCTCTCTCTCTTTTTCTCTCTCTCTCTCGCGCGCGCTTGCCCTCACCTTCTTCACACCTGCTCGATATGACGTGCTAACCACACCTCTCTTCCACCTTCTTCACACCTGGGGGGCTATAAAGTGCCAACCACGCCTCTTTTCCACTTGGCGGAAAATCAGCCTCCTCCACACCTGCTGGCAATGGGGACTCCATTTCCCTCATGCCTGTTGAGTACGGCAGTTTCCTTTCAGATAAAAACGATTTGCTAAACTTCGTTCACACCTGATGTCTGTGGTTACACTCTCTCCAGCCACACAGCGCATCCCTCTCCAAGCCATAGTGGCCAAACTGTATGAGCAAGCCAGCGCAAGGAATGGACAGTGGACTGAGCTTGCATCCTGAGATACAATTCAAATGGACGGTGTAGATACGACTGTAAACCTGATGATGCTCCAACATGTGCTTGTCAATCAATGGCTGGAGAAGGTCAGCAGTGCGAGTCTGGTCGAGTGCGTCCTATCGGCGTTGGCACTTTTTCGAGCTAAAAACTGGCTGGTGTAAGAGGCAACGAGTAGTTTGCTCGCCTTCCTTCTTCGGTCAGTGGCATGCTGTTGCCTCTCTTTCGCTGAAAAAAAAAACAGGGCAAAGCCAACATGACGGGTGACTCTCTGAGTCTACACTTCATATCGGAAGGAATCTCCCACAAACGGACACGAAACCTGAGGAAAATTTAGACTCTTCGAGACACCTAGACATCCGTTCGGCCAAGCCTAGGCTACAAAGAACTCTGAATGGCTGCAGTTTCAAACTCTGGCCTTTCTATATATTTCTTCCAGGTTGAGATGTAGGGATCGAATGACGAGCAATGGGTAGTTGTGCAAAACCCAGGTCTATTTCACCTTCATCCCTGCCTGACGCATCCTGCCTTCCACTGTCAGGTTCACTTTGCTCTTCCTCTCTCTTTCCTCCCTCCCTCTCTCCCTCCCTCCTCCCTGCCTCCTTCCTCTCTCCCTTACCTCTTCCTTCCTCTGTCCTCCCCCTGTCCCAACCCACACAAGAATGCGGGTTTACAACCGTTGCTCTGTCGCTTTCCTCCCGCCTCCCTGACTCCTCCCTGCCACCTCCCTGCCTCCACCGTGCCTCCTCTGTGCCTCCTCCCTGACTCCTCCCTGCCTCCTCCCTGCCTCCTCTTTCCTCCGTCTTTCTCATCCTGAGAACGGCATGAATGCACTCTTATAAATGTGGCTCGGTTTGGTTGTGAGGTGCATCACCCTTTTAATTCGTCGACAACCAAAGAACTACCAACTTTTTTTTTTTGTGCCAACACAAGAACTTACAGTCTTACACCGATAAGGATGTACATTTGTAAGACCATAATGACATCATGAGCCCAAATTACTGCAGAGACCGATCACCGTAATTAATCCGATTGACCTATTGGCCGCCAAGAAGGATGTAAAACATGATGACATCACGAGCCCCCACATAAATGCAGAGACTGAACCCAGCAATCACGGCGATTGGCCCATTGCCTACGCTTGTGCACAAGGCCCAATCTCTGGGCATTTGCCCAGAGATTGGGCCCAGTGGCCCCTGAGCGCACGTTGACCCCTTGGACACTGGGCTCAGAGATTGGGCCCAGTGGCCCCTGAGGCCAGAGATTAGAGACCCGGTGCCCCTGAGCCCAGAGATTGGGCCAGAGGACTCATTTCTCCTGTTCATTGTCAAGAAGTTGTAGCTTTGACCGCAGGTCTGGACTGCAGGTCAGACCTGCATTTTAAACAGCAATTAAAGTTCAGATTCTGGACTGCACCGTAGAACTTGCAAAACTGCGAGGCTGCAGCTGAGAAGAGGCCTATCTTTCACGACTCACGAGTCGTTTAATTTATTATGCACTGTGTGCAGTGCATGCACTGTAAAATCGTAGCCTCTTCAACTGATAAATTTTACTAAAAGAAACTTTTCGTAAACATTTACGAAAATAACTTGGGGAGTAATTTGGTTCTTGAATTTTCTTCGAACCAGACCTCTATCCACTTCTCAGGCCCAATCTCTCGTAAAATCGCAGCCTCTTCAGGCGTGAAGATTGTTGGTGGTCTTGTTGAAGTACAACGGACTCGATCTTGAACGAAGGAAGTAACTCAAGTAAATGACTGCAGTTCAAACTGCTTGCCAGTGACTGCGGTTCAGCAATTTTCGGTAATCCATCATTACATAATAACACATAAAAACTCAAATAAAATACACATAACCAAAGGAATTGCGTGAAATATGTAAATTGATCTAATTGAGGCTTTTTTTTTTGGTACTTTTTTGTTGTTGTTTTTTTCGTGATTGTTCACCAATTTCTTTGACTACGATATTCAAAATTTTTGGATTCATGCACACTTACAGTTGACACCACGGCTTAAACCACAGTTCAAGCTGCAGCTCTGGACTTCTGATACTGCAGGGTGAGAGCCAAAAGCTCAGAGCGTTGCATGCTCGTTCTTAACTAGAGTCGGTGGACTGGAATCAGACCATAAAGGCAAAAGCTCTGGACATTAATGCCCAGAATGAACAAGGAGCCAGGGCCACGAGGAACTGATTTCAGGCAAAAAAGAAAACAAAGAAAAAAGTTCGGACCGATAGAGTTGGTTGGGGATATTGTCTAACTAGAGTTGGGGACATTCTCTAACTAGAGTTGGAGACATTCCCTAACTAGAGTTGGGGACATTCGCTAACTAGAGTTGGGGACATTCTCTAACTAGAGTTGGGGACACTCTTACAAACATGGACATGGCGAAGGCGTACAGTCATATGTAGATGACATCTGGGATAAGATGAGGTTTCTTAGGGCCGTCCTCCGATTGTTACCTTTGGGCAACTGCACAATCACATTCTTTTTCCTCCACTATTTTCCCACACTTCTCATTTTATTTTCTGCCTTCTTTTTTGCCTTTTTATTAGTTTTTAAAGGCTTTTCTTTTTCTTTTTTTTTTCCACCCAAGATCCTTCGGCAGGCTCACCTATGGCAACCTTATTATGACTTCTGCTTCCTCTGCATGATAAGGTTCAATGAACTTCTCACAGCACCCCCAGCAGCAAACCGCTGGGATCACCGCAAGCTAGACACTTCACCGGATCATTCAATTGGTAGGAGACACAGGTGGTGTGTACAGCGCGACGCTGCAAGCTGATGACTCAGTCTTTCTAGGCATTCGTCTTCCCGTTTCAGTTGACTTCCTGTTCTTCTTTTGATTTTTCCCTTCTGTTATGATCCTGACCAATACACATTCATCAGAAAGCACAATGCCGTCCAATTGCAAAAAGAAATGAATGAACTTGAGAGGAGAGAGAGGGAAAGAAGGAGAAGAAGAAGAAAGAAAGAAGAAGAAGATGATGTACACCAGCATAAACCAATGATAATGCTTTTCTTCTTCGCCAACCACTCCCCTCCTCCTTATCTCCTCCCCTCTTATTCGAACAAGAAATAATAATAATAATGTTGAATGGCTGAACCAGAATCAATGTCCGAGTCCCTCTTCTACTGCAGGTACCGCATGAGGTCCACCATAGCCATGGCCACCCTTCTTCCTCCTCCTTCCATGGCCGAGGCTATGGCGGACTACCAGGGCACTGCCCTGCTGTGCAAAGGACAACACAAGGCAGCTATGGCTGCTCTAGCTCAGGCCGCCATGCCTGACTCTGCCTCAAAGCTTCTTGGTGTAGCTCTACACCCACGGGGGCCTTCCAGATGCAGCGCCCACCAAGGTGATGAAGATGGCATCCACCATAGCCAGGTAAGTACCTCTGGCTGGTCTTCTTCCTCCTCTTTAGTTGCTCCTCCACAGCAGCGCTGCTCCAGCCAGCGCTCCAACCAGTGTGTCGCCAAACTTGCACACCAACAATGAGGAGCACCTTGCTCGCCT